AAATCGATTGAGGGACATTACGAAGTACTACCGAAAACTGGCTTGGTACGAACTGAGGTTTTAAAACTGTAATCGTCTTACCACAACATTCCCCAGGCCACTTATCTGAGATTAATAATTTATGATAGTCCTCTCTGTTGTTAACATACAATTTAAATCGTTTGTTTACTGGTCTGATTAATGAGAATCCTTGAAATTTAACCCCAGCTTTCCATAGGTCTTTTTGAATGAATGATTTAACATGCATAGCTCCAGGCAACCTATCTCGACTTAATTTTTCTTCATCTTCAAATTTAATTACGAACGGAGGCAAATCATGTGAAATAGCATATTTTAAAAGATTCCAATTTATTCCTTGTTGAACGTTATGATGCATTTGCTCTTCATATTGACTCACATTTTGACCCTGTTGCTGAGCATACTGTTGAGTATTTTGATTTGCGTGTTGCAGTGCATGATTTTGATTTTGGTACATTTGACTTTCAACAGTATTAAATTCATTCAAATTTAAATTATGACTGGTCTTAGATTTTTTACTTTGATTGTCATCGAACAACCTTGGACTTCTTTGTTGTAAAGCTGAATGTGCTTGGTTTTGACTTGGGATTGCCTGGTACAACGGTTGCTGTTCATAAATAGGTTGTTGTTGATGATTCTGAACTAATTGAGGGTATTGACCTGATTGCCATTGTTGCATTTGATAATTAGAATTTTGAGCCAGAATTTCTATCAGTTGACCATGCGTCACTGGTTCCATCGATGTATAAGAATTTTGTACCTCCATACCACCATGATTATCCTTTGGATTTGATTGAACGTTAATATTTCTTCGTTGATTTACTATGCCGTCTCTAGAGTTTCTTCTATTGGATTCAATTTGATTAGGATACATCATTTTGGTTTACTACTGAGCCAAACAACTAGTAAAGAGTATGGACACGTGGAGAAAGCGCTGTCTCAGTCAAACGATAAGGAAGAAATTAAACAACAGCTGATAAGTGATTATAAAGAAAAACTGAAGATGATCACGCAACCAATATTAGTGATAACCAAATCCTTCGCCTTGTCCTTGTCCATGGACATCAAACATAGCCAGGCTGGCCCATGCAAAATAGCCATGTTTGAATCCAAAACTTTATTTATGATGTTATACTATAAATAGCCGACATAATAAAAGTTATCCATGACAATTTTAGCTACAAGAGTGACAACTGAAGCAACTTTTTCGAGTGCCAGTTATATTTAAGAAAAAACTGGCTGTTCATTAGCTCCAGAAACAATGGAATATTCAATGCTTTAAAAGTCAAATTTCAAGATTGTATTTTTTTTATGTCGTGTTCCATTGCTTTCTCTATGCCTGGAGACGGTCACAATTTCGTTTTAGCGTTTTCGGTGAATGTCAACGCGAGCTTTATTTTACACTAACGATGTTCGTATTGTGTGAAGTAGACGTAAGATTCTGTGGAAGAAATAGCGGTATCAATCTATATTCGCTTGAAAACATTTGCTATCAAGCTAGTTCCTTGTTTTGCGACGTATGGGCCGCTGTTCCACTCTGCTTTATTTGATCAGAAAAATGTCTACAAACTTCGACTGTAAATTGCTATATGAACTCTGACAATATTTCATTGGTGATGTTATGTGGGATAAGTTTAGCAAATTTTTTCGGGTGATCGCAAAATAAGTAAATGATTGAGATACACCCATGGTTGATCGGTCTTCTCTTCTTAAAATAAACTTTTTTTCTGAAAATGCCTGAAAGATATTTTCCTCTTGACAGACACGATCAAAGCAAAGTCTGCTCACAGAAAACTAAACAGAAAACAATGCTAGAATTTCTACTTTTCGAAGACAAGATAAAGATACTGTTCGAGCGATACGAAGTTTATTAATGTAACGACTATCCTCTCGATTATGCACATGTGTTATTTTACCTAGAATACACTGTTTGCTCGAGTTAATAATGTTTACATTGGTCATCAAGGAGTGCGCCATAAGGCACCTTGTGATCGATAGTTGTCTTCTTGTTTCTTATGTAAACTTTAAAAAAAATTGACAACGCGCAGTTATTTCCCTCATTCTTGAATTGGAGTGATTCAGATGCAGTATAGTAAGCAAAACTATGTGGTCTTTCAGAGCGTACCCGTCGCTTCCATTATGTCTGGAGGTGGAGGGATGAAACTTGAAAAAAAGTTGAATGATTGCAGCTCCGTTTAATATCTTATTCAGAAGAACAAACAGAGTCTTTCATCTTTCGAATAACGTCAGATATTTATGTATCAAGCACATCTGTGAATTGTGTTGTTTGAGGCGCCATTCGAAATCATCTCGGCAGCCTTGCATACAAGGTCGTAGCAACACAGGGTGGAGGGACTGAGCTGATCATCGCCGCATACGGCACCCTTGAAAAGGCACACTGGGTTGTTCAGGTCACCAGGAAAATGCTATGTCGAGCAGTAAACATAAATAGCTATAAGCAAACGAAGAAAGCGTACATACTCCGAATTCGTTGGTCTGCGTCTCTTTCTCGAAAATAGTCATGTCTAAAGGCCACTGATCGCCAGCCCACAGCGCCCATATGCTGTGATCTTCATACTCATACGAGTTGCCTACAAACGACGTCTCGCGTTTTAGGGTTGGATCAAGCGCAAAAAAGTGACTAAGTGAGCAACTAGGGGAGCCTGATCGTAGATGAGATCATTAACAGACAGCACCATATCCCGTGTTGGGATGCACGAGCATAGACAACTCGCCTAAACATTTTGATTGACAGATCTTCAGAATTCTAGGATCAACGAGTTACCTCTGTTTTGTAGAAGCCACGGAATGACGAGTGGATAATAGCCAAGCGGAAGGAACACAGACCACTCACCGCTGACGAAAGGTCCACCAATCAACGTTGTGTTTTCTAAAAGAATAACAGAAAGTATGATCATGCGCAAAAACTTCGTGCAAAAACTTCTGTAGCTACCAACGTCATGATCGGCGATCATGCATAAATATCCATAATCGTACCTCCCCGGACAATCCGGACCTAGGTAATCGCGAAACTGATCACGCGTGAGCTGACGAAGCTCCAATGCTTTCTTCACGATCTGAAATAGCGATATAAAAGGGAATCTAAATTTAATCTCAAAATGTAGCATACATACCGGCGGATTAAAAAGAGTATACGTGATGTGTACGTGATAGCTGATGATACCAGGAGGAGGGTTCGGAAGGGTACGCTCAAGGCTACGTTTCCCCCGCTTCATGGCAACATGCGGGTAGATCGTAGGGTGAGCAACACAGTTGTATGCTAATATGACAAGCAGCATCAAGCTGTGGATCGCGACCATCGTAATAGTGGAGGGAGTTTGTTATGATCTAAAAACTAAAAATAACTCCAGCACACATGATGATTGCCCTTTCATGATAAGGCGCCCTTCGTGGAAGAAATGAAGCCAAAACAGAATGTGACCTTATTGCGCCATATGTGTTTATATCAAAGCACCATCCTTTTCATCTTTGTTTTGTCATTTGCAAGGACAAGTTAAAAAAATTGTTCTGTCTCATCTCCTTTGAGTAACTCTTTACTTAGCAAACATTACACACATCGGACAGCAAAAGCATGCAGGGAATGACGTCAAAACTGTAGGTATTTTGAAAATTGAATACATTACAATCGTGTAGGTCATACATTCGCCTATTTAGGGGCTGTAATACTACTGTCTCCTTCGACTGTCTTTCTTTTTCTCTTACCCTAGATCTCTCTCTCTATTTAATATATCTCTATAATGTCTATAGGGGAATTTTCAAAAAATGTCACCCAAACGTACTTCTAATAGGGGGTGGACTTCAGGTACGTGGGGATTACTGTTGGACTACTAGCAGGCGATAAAATTTGACCGCAATAGAATACCACCCTTTAGAACTCGACTTGCGGGACAAAATAGAAGACCAAGGGTTAGTGTTCGTATACGTTCTCTTTATTATCTCTATTACTTTTGTTTCTTTTACTTTCTTCCATTCGATTATACATTTCTTTTATTTTCTTCTTCACTCAGCTGTCTTATCTTTTTGAATTGATTCATGTTTCTTGTGTCATCCTTAATAACAATCAGAACTCATTCTCTCTTTTGGTGGACACAAGTACATGAATTTCTTTCTTTCAATTAATACCTGATAACAATCTTTGTCGCAAAAATTCTATGGAAATTTGTCGGAAGTCAAATTGACAGGGGTCTGATAGAATCCTGCTGGACAACCTCACGCATCCTACATCAACTTCTTTACTCAGCTCGATCAATCCTTCGTAGGATCTTCGAAAATCTTACAAAAAATCAGTATACCGAATTTATTCTAAAAATCTCACGACAGGATCCTATGAGATTCTATTGTTTGGATGTTGGCTCTGGGTCATTGTACATACCAGAATTAAATCAATTAGTTGCCAACCGAGATGGAACTTTCTCTTTCGAATCATAGAACATCCGATGATCGGCTTGCTGACCCAGAGAACCTAGCGATTGTTCTCTTTCGTTCTCGTGGTTCATCTGTTTTTACTCAAAGTAAACAGAAAAACGGTTCGCTCTTCAATGCGAGACACACAGCTAACACGAAATAGAAAGCCTAATATGCGAGAAAAGTATTTGTTTCGGAAAGGTGAGAATATCAAGAGAGCACTATTAATAAAAAGAAAACTGACAATAAAATATATTCTTTGATGCATTTTATGTTCTCTCGGGCAGGGGACATCACTGATAAGAAGAAAAGTGAAGAGCAAATATCTTTCTTGCTGCATCTGAACAACAAGGCCTGCATGCGTAGTAAACAGGTGTCGTACGTTTTATGAAGCGTGCATCTTTTCCATTTTTCAATATTTTAAAACATTTTTTTTCAAAATCTGCTAAGTAAAGAGTTACTCAGCAGATGTGAGATAAAACAATTTGTTTAACTCGTCCTTGCAAATGAAGCCAGAACAGAAAATGACATCATTGCACCCTAGGTGTTTATATCAAAACACCATTCTTGCTTTGTCATTTGCATTTAAGGGGGGTAACCACCTACAAACCTGCCCTCAAATTATGCCAGTTTGTAGTGTGTGTTGAGTACTATGTATTCTTAAGACATTTTGGCGGTTCTATGAATATTGGTGGAATTATGAATTTTTTAACGTTGGACTTTAGTCAAAATTTTCCGTCTAGTTTCGATAATTTTCGATATTTCATAAGTCATTCAGGGATAATGACAAAAATGCGATTCAAGTATGTTTAGATGCACAATTATTCATAGTTATTATGTATGTAAAAAAGAAAGAAAAAATATATACCTAATAGACTATTTATAAATTTTTTCTCTGAAACCGATGCCAGTTCAGTGTAGTCTGGTCGTTTGCATTCTTTTTCTCTTCAACCTCTTTTGCTCAAATATAACAAACAATACATCATTTGAATCAGCTGCTCAAGCGCTACAAAATCCTGTATTTGGTTTTTTAATTTGTCATGGATGTGGGGTTTTATCGAGATTTTTTCATATATGGGCTGTTATATTAATTAACAGCCCATATATTATTAAAAACGAATGCCGGTGGCTATTTCTTTAATAACTTTTGAACAGTGCACTTCGAAGACTTGCGGTTTTCAGCATTGCATAGAGAAGATAATTAGCTACAAGTTGACATAAAAATATCCTAGAAAATACCACCAGCAGTTGGTATACTTTATTAGTTTATGAAAGAGTAGATCGTAATTCCAAGATCTGCCAGAGTGCCTCCTGCATTTCTCATATAGATATGTTAGCGTAAAATGTTCTCTACAAAATGGGAACTAAGCGACCTCTTAATCTTAATCTTCCGTGGTTTAGGAGCGCCATCGGATTTTCTCGAAGCCCCAGGATAGATATTCCCTTAGGTGT